GTTTGGTGAGTAGAAATTTATTTTACTTTCGCAATTTGTTTAACTTGCACCAGATGTAACTGGGAAAGACAGAGGAAAGTGAATACATAGGTTGAGGATCGACTCAGCTGAGCGTTTCGCGTTTTCATTTATGTAGCACAATACCCAATTTCGCACAAAAACCAAATCTACATCTAGGATGAAAAAGGTAGATTCATCACTCTTGGTAAGGTTACACCGAAGTATTATAGTTACACTGAAGCATTCAAAATAGCTCATGCACGTTGAACGTGCCTATGTTTATAATCATAAGTAGAGTGCCTCATAGCCTGAGAAAACAGACAGCATTCTACAATGTCACCAACAGTTTCCCACGAAATGATGTCTGAACAACAAGACCCAGACGTGGCAAGTGTTTCTGATTGGCTGAAGCAAATTTCCAACCAATCAGAAGCACTACCCAGAACTTGGAATTCATAAATGTACGTCATCAGTATGGGATTTCTGTAGTCATTTGCCAGATGTAACTTTGCAGGGAAACTGTTAGTGATGTCACAGTGTGTCAACTGGTTACTCAGGCTACACTGAACACTTCAAAGAAGTCATAAAAAAATTGAAACTCATTATTCATTATTTTTTTGCCAACAAATTTCATCCTTAAAATATGACAGTCACCCCCAACACTTTTACTTGGTTATTCAATCAGGCTATTGCATACAAACATCCATCCAACCCCCCCTCCCACCCCGGTGAGGAACCATGGAATTCTTCAGGGGCCATTTTAAAAAAATTGAGGATTTCTTTAGGGGTAGAGTAAAAAAATAAGGAATTTTTGGGGGGTAAAGCTTTAATTTTACGAAATTCTTAAGGAGTACCCCCAAATTTTAAAGGGGTAACCCCATATTTCATGGAAGTCTTACTTAATCTTCAGGGGTGAGAAAAGAAAGGTAAGCCCTCAACCGTGGGGGGTACGGATATTCAGGGATATTATATATGCCCAGCTGCCATCATTCCGAACCCAACACACCCATACGAAAACTGTGATCCACAGTAATTGTTACAATTCTGAAGCAACATATTGACAATTTATAATACATTGACCAGTGATGAACTTACCTTAATAAAGTAATTTGTTCCAGCTACAACCTGAGTTTTAAAAGACTTGGCTACAAACTGACTGAATTTTGTTCCTGCTTTCTCCTCTGCTTTACTTTTCACCTGTGGCAGGAACAAGCAGAAACACATCTTTACAATGCAACAACGAAAATTTAGAGGCAAATCAGTCAAAGGTGAGGCGTCTAAATCTTGTCTCTCAAAGGGCTACTCTTTCTCTGCTAAAAGAAGCCTTGTTTTTACTGTGAACATTAAAGTGCCACCAAACGTCACACAAAGCGATTCAAACAGACCTCATCGCAAATCTTTTGCTCCGCCTCGGTGGCTGGTTTGAGACCGCTTGTTCCACCACACATAGCCATCTTGATATAGGAATTAACAGAAGTTGCTAACTACAGCCTTTCCTTACAAAAACTGAAAATTGCCTATTCATAAGCAAAATTAGAAAGTGACTCTAATCTGTGTGACAGTCATCTGACCCAACATCTGACTTGTATTGTCCTTGCCAGGTCACCAAGCATGAGGGGCAAGCTTGGCTACCAAGGAACATGGCGGACGGCAACGAGAAGAAGTTGAGGTGGAAAAAGTCGGAAAAAGCTGGTAGGATAAGACGTCGAGAACTATGGAAAAAGGAAGATGTGGAAATAAAGGAGATAGAAGCTCGTTGTAGTGATGTAAGTTATGATTATACTGAACACAAGCGCTGTAAAGCTTCAAACGAAAAGCTTAAAAAACCATTTTAACTCATGCATGTGCTCAAGTTAGGATGAAAAAATATGCATAAAAAGTAAAAAAAGAAGAATGTGGAAAATAAGCGTTCTTCCACACGTAAGTGTGATTATAAATTATGTCAGACGAGTACTAAATCTTTTGTAAATCACTCACCAGGTTTTTTAACTTGAAGGTTTCCTAGAGAATAAACAAATTATTATTTTCTAGCCATAGCCTTGTGCGCTTATTTTTATAACTTTAACTGTGGCTAAATGAAATGGCGTGGTTAAACACAAGACAATGCTGCAGGGCTGTCTATAAGGGCTGGTAGCAGGCTGAAACCGCCAGCTAGTTAGCCATGCTTAGCCGGCTGCTTTCATCTCCTTCTACCATAACTGCTAACAAAAAATAAGCACCATCGAATGAAATTATAAATCATCCATGTTCCAGTTTTAAATGACATTGAACGCATATTTAAAAAGGTTTAGATCTGGAAACTTTCAAACCATGCAATGACATGGAATGCCTGCGACATTTCGATAGCTTTGTTCCCAGTCTTGCAAGTATTGTGACGAAACAACATAGCATCCGCAGCAGAAAATACCTCTTGAAAACCCCTGGAAATGCCATTTCTGAGACTCTTGTCCCTAGATGCCTCGGCCCTCGCCAGCTTTTTCACGTGAACTTACTGCCTACTTTTCGTTGGAAATTACCCAAGTTTAAATACAGTATACATGTGCTGTCACTTAATAAAAAAGGCAAAATTGAATGATGTCTGTGTTCCATTCAAACACTCTAATATTTGGTCCAAAATGCTGGACATGTATTCTGAGAGGCCCAGATTTCAAAATTTTTCCAGAAACTCGCACCTTCGCTGCAAGGTTTTTCTTCTCCACATACTCCAAAGCTTTTGCTACCTACTTAAAATCTTATTGAAAACCCTGATCATGTTGTCACTTAACTAATTTTTGCTTTGTTACATTTTTTCAGCTTGACTGTTCTGTTCCACCATCAAAGTTTTCTGATCTACCTCTTTCACAAAGAACACTTCAAGGTGTAGTGCTTGGTTTTATGTGCTTACAAACTGACAACATCATATCCTTATAGATACAGACATTAAATTTCAGTTACAAAACTGTCGAGAGATTGAGAGCAACTGGCCATCAAGAAAGCAAAACACAAAAAAAGAAACTGTTGGCTGATCAGGAAAAACCGATATCATCTTTCTGCTATCCGGCAGGTTGCATTAGAGTCACCCAGAGGCCAGCAAAGTAAAAAGCAGGAAGGCAGATCACCATAAACTTAAACAAAAACTAGATATAAAAAGACTTAAGTACTCAAAATTTACATGTCAAAATCACACCCTTTGATAAAACTCTAGCCTGTGGTAGTATGTTTTGGAAGCATACAGTGTAAGTCATCTGTGTGTGTCTTTTTTATTAAGTCAAACTTTACAAGTTTTTTTGTCAGTGTGCTCTAGTTTTTCATAATGTATGGAAACCAGGTCTTGACAGACTGTAACATTATAACCTTGTTCCCAGAGTCCTTTGGTAAAGTTAAGTTATTATTTTCTTAATTTATTAGGTCTGCAAGGTGCAGGCTATCAGATTCCAACAGACATCCAGAGGGCTGGAATCCCACTTTCATTAAAAGGCTGTGATGTCCTGGGCGCAGCAAAGACTGGTTCTGGAAAAACTCTGGCATTCCTTATTCCTGTAAGAGATCATTCATGATACAGTGTAGGGCTTGTTTATTGTTTGGCTCCCTACTTTGTTATTGATCTGAACATTTTGACCTACAGTGTATGACCCACTGCTGGCCTTCATCAGGCCTTGGTGTCAGAGCACGTGCTGCAGTGCTTCAGTATTAGTAGCTCTGTGGTTGTTAGTGATTGACTCACTCAATCACTAGAAACCACGGTACTAGTTTTAGTCCTGCACAGCAAATTGTTACCATCACCTGATGAAGGCCAGTAATTCTCAGTCTAAATGTCACTATCAATAAAAATGACCATTGTGAGAAAAAATAAACAACATCTTTTATTCTCACACTTGTGTGATAAATAATATCTCTCATTATCAGCCATGATAGTTGAGAGTGTTTATCATCAAAGAAGATCTACCTGTTTTTTTTAAGTACGTCATAAAATAAAATTTAAAAAAATAATGAAATAAATGAATAAATAAATAATTATTTATAAATACTTGATTATTTTATTTGTAAAATAAATAAGTTTTTTCATAAGAAATAATGAAAAATAGTGAAAAATAATATTTTATCACTCTTGGCAGGTAATTGAAGCACTGTGGAGGCAACGATGGACATCAGTTGATGGTTTAGGTGCTCTTATCATCTCTCCTACACGTGAATTAGTAAGGAGCTGTAATGATTAATACTTTTTTGTTTTCAAAGTATTCCTTCTAGTTTTTGTCGTTCCTAATTTTTAATAGCATAATATTATTTTTAACATATAACATTATTTTCGTCCACCATCTAATTTTTAATTGAGTTACTGAGACAAAACCATGCAAGTGAAATACAATTTTGTGTACAAAACTGAACTTTAGATGCCGAACTTTTCATGAGCCGAACCTAATACATTGAATTAAGTTCATAAAAAAATTGTCATCTGAATCAATTAGGAATGCCTGTCTCAATTTGGAATGGCTTAGCCATTCTTTTAGCCTAGCCCGGCCGGGAATTTCACCTTTGGAGCAACTTTGGAGTGACTTTGGAGTGGCTTTGATTCTGACAACAAACTTTTCATGTACCGAACCTAATGCATAAATGATTATAATATATTTTGTAAGCAGTTTGACTGAAATGAATATTTTCTGCATTTTGAACTTAGTTCAGCAGCAGCTAAGATCAGTGTCTGAATCAATTCAGCCAGTCTAAATAATTTTGGTCAGCCTTAATTCGAATTATGTCGGGCTCATGAAAGTTCGGCATCTGAACCGGGCTGGATAGATAAATAACAGCTGAATAATTTTAATTCTGTGTTTTTTTAAAGCTATTTTAAAACCTTTTTTTGAAGGCATATCAAACATTTGAAGTACTATGCAAGATTGGCTGTAAACATGACCTCTCTGCGGGACTAATTATTGGAGGCAAGGCAAGTCAAATTGCTCAACAATTTTATTATAATAATAATTATTATAGTTTGACCTTAGTTTGGTTTGGTACTGAGTGGAGGCAGCATGACCGAGCTGTTAGAGAGCTGGACTTGCAATTGGGAAGCCTAGAGTTTAAGTCCCACCCTGACCGCTAGCTGGATTTGTTCTTAATAGTCCCGATTTCAAATCCTTGGCCACGCTTGTAAATAGCCAGCTGGTTTGCCTCCGGCCAGTTGGTATTTTTAACCCTGTTTAGTTTCATTTGATTTATTTTTTCAGGCATTTGCTCAGCCCCACTAGCATTAGTGCTATAAATACTGCCAAGGATAAATACAGGTATTTCATTATTTATTTAATGACACCAGCTTATCTTTGTACAGGATCTGAAACATGAGCAGGAGAGGATTAGAAAAACAAACATTGTGGTTTGTACTCCTGGAAGGCTGCTTCAGCACATGGATGAGACACCGGATTTCACCTGCAACTCTTTACAAGTTCTTGGTAATAATATTTTCTTCTCTGCCTTTTTAAAGTTCTACTTGAATGTGTGACAAGAAACCATCTACACTGTAATAGTATCACTACCACAACTACTACGACTACAACTACGACTACGACTACAACTACGACTACGACTACGACTACGACTACGACTACCGCTACCGCAACCACTACCGCTACCGCTACCACTACCACTACCACTACCACTACCACTATCACTACCGTTACCACTACCAATACTACTACTACTACACTGCTCAAAACTTTGCTCTGTAGTCAATTTGTATTAGAGAAATGCCTTGAAATAATTTTATTAACCGGGAAAATATATGCCATAATATTATTATGGAAAAATATTTCAGCTAAAATTTACTGTTTTTCTTCGAGATAATAATTTCACCCTGTCATTTTTTTTTGTAGTGCTAGATGAGGCTGACAGGATTCTAGATCTAGGTTTTGCCACCACTTTAAATGCCATTATAGAAAATCTTCCAGAGGACAGACAGACCATGTTGTACTCAGCAACTCAAACAAGGTTCAGTACATGAACGTTCAGATTTTAAATACTGTTGAACCTCCATGTGCGACCACCTCCTGTTAGCAATCACTGCCCACAAGTGACTTTTATCCAAAACACCTAGATTTTCCAATCAAAGTCCTATAGCTGGAAGTTCTTATAGTTAAGTGGGTAATAATTTTGTGGGTGATAATTTTCCATCAACGGTTTTAACTTCATGTTAGTGATCACTTGACACATGATCTGACTGTATCTCCTGTATGTTCAATGTATGGTCATGAGGACTATGCTACACAGAGTCTTTAAAGAACTTTTAGTGACATCATGGAATTATATGCATCATAACCATAACTGAGATTAATTAATTCTCTTCCCTTCAAATCTCTTGAATTTCTTTTTAGATCAGTACAAGATTTAGCAAGGCTGAGCTTACAGGTATGTTAATTGTACACTATACGTGTAAATAATGTGATAGAAAATATTTGTCGAAAGTCAAACCTTAACAGTAAAAAATATTTTGAACAGTGAGGTAGCCACTTTGGCTATCTCATAATGAATTATTACATTCTTGAAATAAAAATGAATAAAGTTGAACCTCTATTAAAATTAATAATCAGCCTCCCGTTATTAAGAGGCCACCTGTCCCTTCCCTGAGAGGTCACTATATTTGACTGTAAAATGTATTATAGTGACAGCATAGATGATTTTATCTCTTTCTTATTCTAAGGATCCTGAATATGTTGCTGTCCATGAAAATTCCAGAACAAGTACTCCAAAAGGACTTACCCAGGTAATGAAATAATTATTTTGACACGTCACTTTGCTGTCTTCCATTTGGTTATTACCTACATTTGTATAGTCTTTGACCCAGTCAGGTTTTTTGTGTTTGTTTCCTTTTTTGCAACTAAGATAGTATCACTTTTTAAGTGACGTTTTTTTTTTTGCTTTTTAGAGTTATGTGATTTGTGAACTTCCGGAGAAACTGGATTTCCTCTTTTCTTTTATCCGAAATCACATAAAAAGCAAGATTCTTGTATTCGTGTCAAGCTGTAAACAGGTGAATATCGTATGCACTGTAATTTATAATATTTCATCCTAGGCATTAGATTCATTAATTGGTTGGAATTCACTTGGGTGATCATGACACATTATAGAATGGGAAAGTATAATATGCAACATTTTACACTCAGATTGCTAAAAAATACTTAAGATAAGCAATTTTTTTTCTTGTTTTCAGAATTTCATGATACATCAGAAGAATCTGATAAAAATCATGAGAGTGGGAGGTAACGCATCAAATCGCGAGGGTTGGGATCTCTCAGTTTCACTCCCAACTATAATGGCCAAAGTAAAAATTCAAGAAAATTCCCAAATTAAATTATTTTGTAAAATAAGACCAATAAGACTGATAACGCAGGCCGATAAGACCAATAACGCAGGGCTTGACAAAAGACTTGAAATTCCAGCTTGTCCTTTGGGCAAGCAGGTGTGATATTTCGCTTGCCCGAAGACACTTCTTACATGTACTTGTCTCAGTTTATGATCTTATAAGAGGATGGTTTTCCTGGACCCTTGCACATTGGGCAAGTAAGCTTGAAAAGTTAGTTACTTGCCCAGCAAGAAAATCAACTTGTCTTGGTTACACGTGTGGCTTTTTTTGAACCCTGTAACATGAAAGATAGGTTTTATTTGTATGTTCACACCACAGAGTTTTGTGCAGACTTTAAGACGGAATCCATCAGGAAATTGAGTAATTTTAATTTTCAGTGAATAAAACCTTGTACCAGAAAACAAGTGTCAAGTTTCACAAAATGATATATTACACATGAAATTTTCTGAATTTTACCTGTGTTTTCACGTTTCTTTTGAAATCTGACATTTATTTTCTCGGGCTAGCTCCCACGAGAAATTGTCTTTGGTGTTTTTGCAGATAACCAGTTATATCTACATTTATAGCCCTTGAAAAATGTAAAAATGAAAGCAATTCTGTTTAAATTATTCTGGTACAAGGTTTTTGTCCACTGAAAACTGAAATTACTCAATTTCCTGGTGGATTCTATCTTAAAGTTGTACAACAAATACTGACTCCATCAGTCACTCTGGAAGTGGAGAGGTTAAGGGGAGACTGTTTTGTTGTACCTCTGGCTTGTCTATTGTCCATGTGTAGAACAGGGTTCATACAGATCAGTCTTGAATTCTTGAAAAAGTCTTGAAATTTGCTCAGCAACTTTTCAGACTTGGAAAAGTCTGGAAAATGGGGATAAAGTCTGGAGTTTTTACTTTATTTTATTTTTATCTATTTTTTAGGCACAACAAGTGCTTTAGAAGTGAGATTTGTTTTGTTTTGGTCAAATCCTATTCAATATCACTCCTACAGCTGTACCTTTGTAGCACATCATGAAAAAAGCTTGTTCCTGCCTTTTCTTACATGCATGGCTCTATCGATCGCCTATTTGATAACCATGAGTCTTAAAAAAAATAATTTTTTTGGAAAAAAGTCAGGAAAAAGTCTTGATTTTTGGATCCAAAAATCAGTAAGAACCCTGGTAGAAGCAGGTAGCATTTCCCTTAAGGTGTAAGTCATTGAAGCCATCTTGCATTTAGAGTTAAACCCACTGTGGCCATTTTATCGTTAAACAAAGCCATCTTATCATTAAACAGGGTTCTGTAAAGAAGAGCTCTGGGGCTTTCAGCAACTAGAGCAATATTTTCACTTTCATTGTATTGATCTCATGGCTTTCTTTCACCATCAGGTCAAATTTATCTATGAATCATTTCGTCGCCTCCGTCCTGGAATTCCTTTAATGGCCCTGTATGGAAAACAGAAGCAGCTTAAGAGAGTGGCAATATACAACGACTTCTGTAAGAAAACTGAGGCAGTGTTATTTGCCACGGATATTGCAGCTAGAGGACTTGGTGAGGTTTTTACTAAAATTACTAGTCTGTATGTGGGAATAAGGTACAGACTGGACATACAATTATATACATGATTTAGTTACTGCATGGAGTAAAAAAAATGTGTACATTGTATACATGTCGCCAATCAAGAATTCTTGTTACCACAACATCCTTGAAAAAGCCAGAGCACTTTATTTGGTACTCTATGTAATAAGCACAAAAGTTCTTTATTGGGAACACAAATCTTTTACATCTCCTAGTGGAGTCAGAGACAGGACCACCCTTTTGCGGGGTCAACCGAGCCATATGAAGGTTTAGCCATTTGCAGGACTACTTAAGCACTTATTAATAGAACCTTTACTTCTCAGTTATTTTAAGACCCTGAGTATTAGTCTGACCCTTGGAATCGAACCTGACCTCCCGCTCTGCAGTAGTTACAGAGCTATCCCTGCCATGGTCGTCCTCATTCCAATCATTAACAGCTGGCAGCTAGCAATTTTGCTGTTTTAAATTAAGTGGGCTATTAATAATGTCAAATAAAGATCTACAAGTTTGAAGCTTGCTGCCTGCACTCTTGTTTATTTCTTCCTATTACTGCAAAACATTTTGACTTGGCTGGTCCTTCTATTTACAGGTATGTTGTAAATGACAGGTTTGAAAAAAAGTTGTTGTATTTAATTTTGTTAAAATCTTCATTCATGTTCTTTAGATATTCCTGCTGTTCATTGGGTGATTCAACTTGACTGTCCAGAAGATGCTAACACATACATACACAGAGCGGGACGAACTGCAAGGTGATTGATTGAACTGGTACTTAGCAGGTCTGACACAGGGTCTAGAAGGGGGGTTCTGATCCTGCATTCCCGCAATTTTTTCACAACAATCCCACATCAAAGACATCTGTTTTAGATGAATAGATCTCTATCCCAAAATATGATTTTGTTTCCCAATACCTGCCAAGATTTTGGCAAGTCCCTCTTCCTGAGTAGCAGTCAAGTCCCGTATCCTGTCAAGAAATTTTGTGTTCTCCCGAATCTCACACTATATTTGGTCAAATCCTGGACCCCCAGAATACCCTTCCAGACGAATGCTGATTTGATCAACAAAGGGGTTCAGTAGATCATATGGAAGGTAACATGGCCAAGGACAGCGAAAAGTGATGTGTACTCCATTTTTTGATCTTCGCATTCAACTGTGCCTCTTCATCCCTTCATACTTAATACCAAACCATTTCCAGCTTCTGGTTTGATATGGTTTTCAAACATTGCAAATTTGGCACAAACGGCACTTTCCATTGAACCCAAAATTCTAGAAATTTTGGTTTGGTACATCAAATGGAATAGACCATTTCGGTTTGGTCTGACTGGAATATTCGGGACCAGCTTTGATGGTGGTCCACTTTGACTGGTCCGGTCATTTCGGCCGGTCAGATCAAAAAGTCCTTTCCATTTGACTAAATTGTTGTCCCCAATACCGCTCTTTTGTATCCTGCTTCAGAGAACAATAACCAAACACATGGTGGCTTGGGCTGGGTCTGTGCAACCGGAATGTACCGTTACATTGAACACATGAAATTTACAAAATTTCAAACCAGAAAAATACCCACTCACATTTCCAATTCCTATGTCAGTCCAGGATCAGTTGAGGTTTCTGGGTAACTGACCACCCACCCCTCCATTAAGTCAAAGTTTTTCCCTAACAAATGAGTAAGTGTTAATTGTGACTTAGAGGAGGAGTAGGTTGTTGATTACCCAGAACCTCAGTTTATGCCTGGATTCACTGTGACAAAGGGCTAGTGCTCAAAGCATTATCTTCTCAATCCCCTATGGTGGTAAATCTACTTTTGCAACTCAAAACATTTAATTCCTTCTCCCTGAAAAGATTAAATTCTCAATTTTCCAAACAACCCAACATAAAACAGACACCAGGGTGCCTAAGATGGACCCTTTTTCTGATCTGATCACTTGTGACTTTATTGACATCATTAGTTCTGTCTTTATCAGGTATCACAAGAACGGACAATCTCTGTTGGTTTTATTACCTTCCGAGGAATCAGAAATGATCACGGCACTAGAGGCAAAGAAAATACCCATCAACAAAATAAGGTACTACAGTGCATCATGGTACTATATTATTTAATTTTCAGATATGCATTTTCCAGTTTTTTTTTTTAATTTCTCTATTTTTTTTTACTTTATGATATGCCTGGTTTACAATAACAAAGTAGAAAAGGAATTCATTGTAACACAATTCTGTGATTGCAGAAGTTTGCCCCTATTTATTCAAGGCCATAGCTATAATCACTCGTATACCGGCGTACTAAGCAAAAAAAATTCAAAAGAGGTGCCTAGAATGGGCAGCATATGATCACTCGCAATCTGTTTCAGTGCTCATGCTTGCTTGATAACAAATTTAAAATGTAGTTTGTGTAGTAGATAACTCCTAACAGCTTTTTCAACAAGTGTTTATTTGTTCCACATTGAGGATTGCATGAAAGTTAGAATGCAGCAGCATTGATCTCCAGCAAAGAAAAAAAATACTGGCAACAAAAGTGAAAACATGTAAAATAAAGGAAAGATTGTAGACTGACAGATTGAAGTAGCCTGCAAGGAAACTCTCTATTTAAGAATGGCAAAAGGTGAAGAGTTGTGTATGAGTGGCTAGTGCAACAAGTTGTGAGAAATCACACTTGAGTGGCAGGTGAAAGGAGATGCATCTTAGCCATTCACTTGCATGGCTCATTTCACAGGCCTCTCAAAATCCAGCTTGCTTGCAGGTTAAATCTTTTGCGGAACCTCCCATGACCTTTTTTTCCATGGATTTCCAACTGAAGAGCTTGCTTACAGGCTTAGATAAAAGCAGTCATATTTTGTTCAGTAACAATGGGATGTTGTTTTAATATCTCTTTATCTTTGTTATAATTAAAATCTGTTACATTTGCAGAGTTAACCCCAAAAAACTGGGTTCAATTCAAAAGAAACTTGAAGCCTTCTGTGCCCAGGATCAGGAGATAAAACAATGGGCTCAAAAGGTAAATAAAACCATGAAATCAATCTGAGAGTTGCCATGTTTGCATGATTATTTTCTTAATCACATGTGACAAAAGGGAACTCAGCCTTAAGGATGAAGATGATAACCCAGTTAACTCATCTAAAAACGGTCGCTGCACCCTGGGGGGGTACTGCCATATATGGGCTATATAGGTATGTGCCGCTGTGAAGGGTATGGTTTTCAAGCAGTTTACTCTAAGATAGGGTATATAAATCAGAGCGTTTGGGTTTAGAATAGGGTATCATTTTTCAGGAAACTGATCAGTTCCGCGTTGAAGATTTTATCTAGACTAGGGATTTTGGTGTAAGGTTTTGTTTTGGCTAGACTGTGCTAGTGACCTCAGTAGTTTCTGGAAAACAGCTACTCTAGGATAGGGGGGATTTGGGGAGTTTACTCTAGTAAAGGGTAGCAAAATTCAGCTGAACTAGCTCTGGTATAGGTTAAGGGTTCCAGGGTCCCAGCGGCACATCCCTACCCAGAAATTCCTAAAGTACCCCCCCACCCCCGGGCGCTGCACTTATTGTTAGCAAATTGATAGCAATTTAATGAGACTTGTAGGAACTACAATACTGAATGTTACATTTTTAGAATTTTCAACTTTCAATTCTTGCATTGAGAGATGAAAGAAATTGTGTACACCTGCAGTAGACAATACTCTGGCCCTTTCATGCTAAAGACAGTCAAACTTATGTTAAGCAAACCTCTATTAAATTGATTACCTTCTATTAAGCGGCCCCTAAGCAAAGTCCCGGAAATCATTTCCCCTAATTACTGTACAACTGACCTGTATTAAATGGTCACCTCTTTCAAGCAGTCACAAACACCTTCTCCCAAGAAGTTATTATTTATTGTCTTCACCTCTGTTTTAATAAACAGCCGCTTTTGACAAAATCTAGCATGCTTGTGCAACATGTACACTGAATGGCATTAAGTGTTATTTTACAGTACTTTATTTCTTTTCGCACAAGAAGAGTTAAAAACATTTTGAGGTCAATTTATTTAATATTATTATTATTACCAACCTCATTCTTGAATAACCAGACCTAGGTTTACAGGTTTGACTGTCCCCAGGTTACAGTGTGGATGTGTGAGACACCCGTGGCTAGTGTGTGGACTTATGAACCTTTAATTTCTCCACAGAGTATTGTATCGTACGCCAGATCTGTCTTCCTGCAGTCCAACAAAAAGATATTTGATGTCAACAAGTTGCCTCTAGACGAATATGCACAGTAAGTTGCAATGACGAAATGAAATGAACTGGAATCTGTAGCTGCGCTTCTCATCAACTGCCCTTATAGGGCAGCTGTGACAGATACATGTGATGATAATGTCTTATTTGTTTGTTTGTTTTTTTGTAGGTCTCTAGGACTACCAAACCCACCTCGAATTAGATTTTTAAAGGTTGGTTGGGTGGCACTGTCGGTAGGAAAAATTTCAGCAAGAATGATTTTAATGTTAAGAGCTTTCTCTTCTCTTTCTTGTTAATTGGTCATCTACATGTAGGCTGGATTAATTCAAAACTTGAATGTGCTTTTATCAAATAAGTTGATAAACCAAATGAACTATTTTTAAACTAGCTGGATTTTTGAAAACGTTGCCTCCAAATAGATCTCTTCTGTTGAACATTTTTTTTTTTTCAGTCAAAAAACAATCTCCAAAGTAACCATTATAAAGAGTGAAACTGTTGTGTCGCATTGCACTTTGGGACTGTTTTGAAGCTGCTGTCACTTTGTTATTCAGTTGGCTATTACAAAGTTGCACAGGGAGCTGTGTCAGAAATTATTCATCCCCCAAAACAGTCATAGGGCAATTTGACACAACACTGACCTACAGTAGTATCACACATAACCTCACACAGCGGGGCTTAGAAAAACTTGAATTCCAGCTTGTCCTCTGGGCAAGCAGCTCTCATATTTTTCTTGCCTAGGGCCACTTCTTGCTTGTCTTAGCTAAGAAATTTTTAAAGGATGCCTTGCCTGGACCGTAATGCCCACTGGGCAAGTAAGCTGTAAATTAGTTACATGCCCAGCAAGAAAATCTGCTTGTCCTGGATTACTGGACGGGACTTTTTCCAAGCCCTGCTCAAAATGATTGATTCCATTCTTTTTTTCTTAATATAGAAAGCAGAGAAGAGATATGGTAAGATTAGTCACACATCTCCGAGTGACTCAACCAAAACAAATGCATCTCAGCTGTTTGATAATAACAGTGATGATGAGACTGGTGATGAGAAGAGTGGTGATGAGAGAGATCTGGGAAATACTTCAGAAGAGGAAGGAAAGGAAACGGATAACAGTGAACAAGATGAATTACTGGTTCTCAAGAAACGTCATGTTAACTTTGACCCAGGTCCACTTGCAAACCAGGTATTATGCCTAATGCTTAGAGCTGTAGTTGATTCTTCAGCTTTTAACAGCTCTTAACAGAAGCTAATTTCCCGCTGTGATACACAGAACTTTAAGCTATGGAATATCAAACGTGTTGATTCATGCAGTGATGTGATGGCATTCTTGAGATCATAGCAAATAATTTCTCTGGAATCATAACCTGATTTTATGTGTACACATAACATCATCTCTGGAATCATAACCCTGATTTTATGTGTACACATAACCTCGTCTTTGGAATCTCATAACCTGATTGTATGTGTACACATAACATCATCTCTGGAATCACAACCTGATTTTATGTGTACACATAACATCATCTCTGGAATCATAACCTGATTTTATGTGTACACATAACATCATCTCTGGAATCATAACCTGATTTTATGTGTACACATAACATCATCTCTGGAATCATAACCTGATTTTATGTGTACACATAACCTCATTTTTGGAATCATAACCCTGATTTTATGTGTACACATAACATCATCTCTGGAATCTCATAACCTGATTTTTTGTGTACACATAACTTCATCTCTGGAATCATAACTAGCCTCGCTTGAGTTAAGGTATTCTTTTTGTAATTTCTTTTAAAATTTTATAGTTAAAAACGAGGCTAGGCTAATTTAATTTCAACAACAGAATAGTATTCCAGCAGCCATTTTTGCATTGGGTCTATGGGTATTTGTAAGTGAGCCAAGCATGAGACTTCCCACGCTTCACAAACAAATCACAACTTTTTTTCAGGAGAAGACGGAAGAAAATGAATTGAAAACTAAAAAACTCAAGACAAAAATTGCTGCAGCCAAGAAACTGCTCAATAAAAATGTGAAGTTAAACACAAAGATAGTGTTTGATGAAGAAGGAGAGGTAAGGCTAAAGCTAAAGAAAAAATATTCCGTTTGTCAGTCAACTATATAAACACCTTTCCTGTGTTTTTAACCTCTGTTACTTGAAACTTCAGTGAAATGACCCCTTTTACAGCGTGACGACATCGGCTGGGTCATGAATAGCCTGCCACGAGCGGCTTTAGAAAATCTCGCGCGAAAAAGAGAGGGATTTTTTGTTATGACCCGTCCCTACGAACTGCAAGCCTGTTAATGCGTGCAGGAGCAAGCGTTTCATCGTCGGTCGCGTGGCAGACGTTTGAAAGGGACGGAAAAGGGGAAACGCGCCCGATTATAGATCACCTTTACCATCCATTTCGAACTATTATATTAGTGCAATATTTCCTAAATGCAGAAAAGGCACATTCAAGTGTTAGGACGATGGAAAAAAATCCTGGAAATTTCATATTTTCCCAGATGCGATTCCTGAAAAATGCAAGAACTTTTTAACTGTCGAAAGGCAAACCATTCAACGAACGGGCTTTTAATACACAGCAGGGCTGTACTGTAGCAGCACCTGGTGACCTGTGGCGCCTAACTTTTGCTCTTGGGCTACTAGAAAATCTTACTTTTTTCATACAAATCATATGCTGGGCGCCTCGGATTTCACAAGCTCAGGGCACTGGGCTTCCTTCAGTTTTTCTTAGAGCACAGCCTTGACCAGGAAGATCCTAGAAGGCGGATCATCCTAGCGCCATATGTTTCCCTGATTGAGTCTATATGAGGCAAAGGATTGTACTTATCCTTAGTGCAAGGATCTTTTTAGTTGAGAGGTCGGAAAATCCTACCACTAGGAACTGTTCCTAGCACCATGTTAATTGCTTTCATCAGGAAGATCCTACTACTAGGGACAAACCAGACAAAAGTGGCAGCGGATCGTTCAATGGCTAATCACCGCAATAAAGGCCGACCATTTTGTTTGGCGTTACCACGAGCTGATGATTTTGATAGTTCTGCTTTAAGGTATAGAGAGCAGAAGGCATAGAGAGCAGAAGGGCCCAAATTGCATTTTTGTTATTGTCGCCCACCATCTTTAATTCCTTTCTACTAGGAAACCACGCGGACCGAAATTTCTGCATGTAAACCCACCAAAAAGTTGTTTCGCCTTTTAGGATCTTCCTGGTGCTAGAGTCTCCTCCCTCTATGTAAACAGCCCCTTACGATGTCAGCAATAAATTTTCAGAAGTTTGGTTTTACCTCTGAGGTTTGTCTTTATATTGACAAAATTATGAAGTAACCAAAATAAAATGTTTCATACGATAAGCGGAACATTCTGCATTTAAAACTGGAATATTTGGTCGATTAAATTGCACCCCTAGTTTAAAAATTAGTACGTTAATTCAAGGCTTTGTGAGAGGTTGCGGGGAATGAGAAGGTAAACAACTTCCTGACAAACAATTTAAGTCCAATATTATCAAGAATTTTGAGGGTTTTTCTTGCTAAATTCTAATAAAGTTTCACGTCATTTTCAGCCATTAAAGACTGAAGGTGTTCCTCTTTCACGTGACTCTGAACCATCCAATCAGGAACTAGAGCCAGTCCCCCTTGCAGAGATTAACAAACTTCCAGTGGGTGGCATCTCAGTTGAAGAATCACGTGATTTAATGCGTGAAGCAGATTTGATTGACAGGGGGGTAGAAAGAGAACGGATCAAAAGTAAACATAAAGAACAACGAAGAAAAATGAAAAAACGACGCCGTGAAGAACAGGTAATGAATCAGTGTTCTCATGTTTTCTTTCTTAAAGCTGTAAACGAAAACACGTAGAAGGCAAAGTGGTCTAGTAGTCAGCGTGTTGAGCATTTGTGATGTCTATTTAGGGTTTGCCTGGTGCCAGTTTAGCTGCCGGCGGTGAAAATGAAGATGATGTAGATAACTCCGATGAAGAGCAGCAACCCACAAGGTACGATAAGTTTTGTGAGTTGACGGACTCTTCACGCGTTTTGAACAAATAAGTAGAGACGTTTAGAATCGAAGACGAGGACGACTACGAAAACGGGAATTTCTCAATTTTTGACTAAGAAACGCGCGCGTTAACCAGTGCTCATTTTGGCGGGAAAACTGCGTGGTAGCCGTTGTATCAATAGAGTACTAAAGTGTGACGTCATAAAATGAAATTTCTGAAATTATGGGATTTGTAAGGATATTCTGAAAGAAAAATGTCCAAGAGGCTTCCTTGCCAAAAATGAGCATGTCGGGACAAATTGTCTCTGAGATCGTAGCCCAGTTATGCTTAGAAAACTCCATACAAATCCTTCTAAATTTTTTTGGGTTTCATGAAATTATAAGGCCCAGCCTAAAAAAGCACCTCTTTTCTTAAAATAAACCTCTATATGATGTTCGCTCATTTTCACATTCTCATTAACTCACCGATTAAAAGCATGGATATTACAAGGGGAAATTTGGAGCGAATCACTTTGATGACTATTAGGTTAAATGGACAACCCAGATTTATTCAAAAACCATAAAATCTGGGCGAAAAGAATACATTGTCATTTTCACGTAATTTGTAGACAGTTCTCTGAAAGAAAAGGCAAAAGAATTTGGCAGTTTAAGTGCGTAAAACGATTTGAACGACCCTCCATGCCAGATTTTCTTACTCGCAGCTGGTATTTTTCTTTGTGCTGCTTAGATCTAAGAAGAAGAAACGCCTTGCAAAGAATGACAGGATCTCGGAGGTTGCTTTGGATTTGGGCCCTCAGAGTTCTTTAGCTGACGACGAGGAATTAGCTATGCAATTATTGACAGGTTTTTAAAGTGAGAATACTGAGGAACCAGTGGGAATGATTCCTGTGTCTGTCGCTGCGAAAGAAAAGGGTTCACGACAATTCTTATTTCGTTTCCGGCAAACGGAGGTCGTCCAAGACATAGTGTCGGAAAAATAATGTGAGAGGATCTCACGTGGGAAGTTCAATATCACAACAAACTTGCTTTTCTATCTTTAACAACAGTTCATTTTTCTTGAAACGATAAAACCTTGTGGCTTGTCAGTTTTAACTCGAGGTTAACTTTCGCCGGCCGCGGTCGGGAGGCAGGTGGTAGTCTTTGATGGAAATAAGTACGTTTAGAAAATTAGCAGTAAACTGTACCATATTTGACACTCATTCTTAATTCAACTTACTTTAGCCATTTTCATTTCATCTCAAACATACGTGTAGAAAATCGAATTGGATTACTGGATTGGTTCGATTTAGCGCCCTGGGTCGGGTTGCAAAAAAACATCTTAAGATTAAGGGAACTCGTAACTATTATTTCAAAACAATTGGTTATTATTCCAGAACAAGAGTTAAGAGCCCTCTTATCTTAAGAACGTTTTATGCAAACTGGCCCTGGACGCTTATTTAGTTATGGTATACCGCAAGAGGGCGCTCATTCGAAACATGGCGCTTATTTCTTTTCCAGAAACTGCCAAATTTGCGGAATAAAGCTTTCACATTTATTTAAAAAAGACCAATAACGGAAACTGTCAAAAGAACGAATATACCGGGAATACCGTAAAATTCCGAAAATAAGCCCCGGGGCCTATATTTTTCAAAGGCCCTTTTTGAGGGGCTTATTTTTGGAGGGGCTTATCTAGGGAGGGAAATTTGCGTTTCGAAATCGATTGCGCTAGCCTTATAGTTGGAAGTAAATTTACCGCTTTTGCTTTGTTTTACTTTGTATTTGAGGGCAATTTTCCAAGTACAACCTCCCGGGGGGGCTTATATTTGGAGGGGCTTATT